GTTCTCTAGCTCTGATTCTGTTTCAGGCCAAGATTGAGAAGAATGGAGTGTTGATTCCTCCCTCCTGTTTTTACAGCTAAGAAAGTGTTTGCTTGCCCCACAAACATGAGGCCATCCTAATTTGTACCTTCTTAAACAAGTGTGAGCTCAGGTGGAATTCCACAAATGGATATATTCCATTTGGACAGGATGTTGATCCCTGAATTTTGGAACAGTTGTTGCAGAATGGCAAGTGGATTGTGTTTACTTTTCTTTTGGGGAATTGGTTTACTTAATTAAAATCTTGAGTAAACCAGCAGAATTTAAACAATCACTTTATTTCCCACAATATTGGTTCACTGAGTGATTGGATTGCAGAACAAGAGCTGGATATTTAAAGGTACTGGAAGAAAAGATCAGTTCGCTCACCAGTGGGCTTTATTATAAAAGGGATCTTTGTTTAACACATTGGCAACTTGTACTGCCCACTCTCATGAAGATCTTGGAGAAGAAACGAGGCATTTTCAAAGATTTTATTTTGTCCAAGCAGAAATATTTTAAAATAAAGTATGAAATATTAGCATTGTTGAAGGAAATTAGTAACTAAAAATAATTAACACTTCATATTAGCCAAATTTGGTAACTTTTCTGCTAAGTTTGACTTTGAATTGTACACTTGTCCAAATGTTTTATTTTTCCTTGTTTTTGTCTGTCACTTGTACATCCACCTGAGATGTTTATCTTACTGCCTTGTTTTTAATGTACCCCAGGGAAAAATAAAGTAGGCTACTAGCCTTCCATTAAAAGCATGACTGCTGGATCTGTTTAAGCTCAGAAAACCTGAGAGCATTTTCAGAGATGCATCTGAAATCAGAGTTTGACAGCCCCACCGGAGCTCATTCTCCAGGTATTGCCGAAGTCTCAAGCCACAATTTAATGATCCATGTTTCTACAGTTAAAACTGTAATATTCAACCACAGCAGTGCAAATTAAAGACTGATCTTGAGCTCAATTTCTGCCTATGATTGAACAGATTTTTTTCATGTTGGATTAAGCTTTTAAACTATCAGTCTGAGAAGGAAATTTGCCTGCTGGTGAAGGCAGCGTGGATCACTGAGCAGTACTACGTTTGTCTGCGTGGGAGATTACTTTCCTGAAGGCTAATCCAGTTCAGCTGAATGTCAGCTGTCTGAGAACCATTGCAGACCTTATCTTTCGATTACATGCTTTGGCCTTGCCCCCTGAAAAACAAATGTAGTTCATAACCAGTATCAAAAACTTCCACAGAATACTCAGAGGATAGTATGAGAGAAAATGATCTCCATATAGCAGATGGCACGCAAAGCCGTAGTCCTATGGCTTACTGGCAGCTGCAGTTCTGATAGCCCATTGCGTTATTAGACTGTGCCTGTATTAGTAAATAAGATGCATAAGGGTTTGTTTTCTGGCCCTAAAAGCAACTGGCATAGCATGGATTTTGTGCATATGGCTAAACCTTCTCCCCTTTGCAACCAGGTTGGCTTTATCCATGCTGTCTATTTGGAACAGCCATGGCTTGAGTAATCCCCTGAACCATAGTCAGGGCATTGCCTGGGAGAGTGGTAGTTGGCAGAGTGTCCAAGCTCTGCTGGAAGCTGTGTTTGTTACACTCTGTGGGTAATTACAGACCGTGACTTAGTGGCCTGATCCTGCTGAGTTTTCTAAGGTAGTAATAAACCCTGTGTAAGGACCATGTTGGAATCTCTGTGATACAATAGAATAGTCTCCTAAAGGTAAACTTAGTCTACAAAGAAAACCTCTCCCAGTTCTTCAGAGAAGTGATTCATGGTCTACAGATGAGTCAGTTAAGTGTTTCTTTGTATCTGTAAGTTTAACCCATTGTTTGGGAGGGACATCCAGCCCTTGATCAGAATAGAAACTCTATTAGCAGCCATACTGGTTTTTTGATAGTACCTGTGTACAGGTAGGTAGTGTACAGACGTTGCTGTAGCACAGTCAGAGAACACAGAGCATGCAGGATCTTGTATCACTGAGCGTTTCCAGCCTTTCTGCAGGCACTCTGTGAAGAAACTGAGTGTACAGAACATGTGCAAATCTACCCCTGTAAGAGCTATGTAGGCAGGTGCTGCTTTGAGACTTTACTCTCTCTATTCAGGAATTGATGTGAGGAAGGGAATATTATCCAAAAAGCTTATTTAGTAGTCAGTTTCTGAGAAGAAAAGCTTGTCTCTTCCAGACACAAACTGCAAGTCTGCTTTTGTAAGGAGCAGGTGGCTGGTGGGTACTTTGCAGCTCCTGCAAGCCCTGAAGCCTCACAATAGCTATTAGAACTCGTTTGATAAATCTGAACGACAATGAAATATCCAGCTCTGATAACATTTTTAATGGAATTAGAAAAAGTGTCTGACCTTGTTTAGAAATTTTTTTTCTCTCTCGGTATATTTCATGACTGTGTCTTACTACATTTGTTTGATAAACCTTTTAAACTTTTTGACACTTATTTTCTGTTGCCAGTTTGGAAGAAGCCCTGATATCACTTTATTGAAATAGAAGTTGCAAAAGTACAAGGAGTGACCATGTGATAAATGTTACTCTTGCTAATACTGGGCGATTTCCAGGCAACAGATTTATGTCAAATTGTGGCCTTTTAATGATGAAAATGCTAACACTTTCAGAAGAAACTACTTATTTGCAGGAAATACTCGGTTCTTGAAAGAAGCCACCTGAGTCTAGGTGAATGCTTATGTGCTAAACTGTTAGAGGGAGTAGGGCTTGGTTTTTTTTCTTTAAACTCAGTAGTGCTTGGTGGACAGGTTGCACATATGAAAACCAGCGTGCTTGTTGACTGCCTCAGCTTCTGCAGGTGTCAGCCAGAGTAGAGACAGAAGAAGCAGAGGGTATATTTGTGAGAAGTGCTCCTTTACTGGAGTTCTCCAAGGTGAAGTTTGGTAGCCTCTGTAAAGGCATTAACAATTTGGCACAAAACCTACTGGGGCTAAGTGTAAACTCTTTAGCAATGACAGATGGTAGAACTGTTCAGTTTATTTGTTCGCAGTTTACTGTCTAAAGACTGAGTGGTATATTTTGTTAAAAAATGTGTGGGAGAGTGACAAAGATAAATGTTGCTTTTCTGGAAAACCATTGGACTGGAGAATGGGACTGATAAGAGACAAGGAGCGCTAAGTAGGAATACTGCAGCGGGAGTGCAGTCTGGGAGGGAAGAGTGAGGGGCAAAGACTGGAGTCTAAGTTTAACAGGAGTGGGAAGAAAAAAGATTCCTACAAGGATCCGAAGTCTGACTAGGGTTGCTTCAGTCCAGGGAGGCACTGAAGACTGATGATCTGGAAGGTAAGACTGGATGAAAGGGACAGTTGCTCTCCTCAATGTTAACTGAAGGTGCCCTGTCCCTGAAGATTAGGTTTTATCATCTGAGAAGCTGGGGCACAATAACAAGGGGAGGTTGTAAGTTTAGGTGACTGCATCTCCATCCTTGCTCCTTATTCAATGACTTGAGTGTTATACTCTTCACATTTCAGTCTGAGCTGCTTATTTGGAAAGGATTGTTTATAAAAGTGTGTTAACTGTGCCTTCTTCTCATGCAAGTAACTGTGTATGGCTTATTGTTCCTTCCTGAATGTAATGATACTATACGTAATCATTCTTTCTAGTGGTGCTTATATAGAATTTTTTTTTCCAGAGCCTAGTTCTTTATATTTTTTTATTGAGTGATACCTTATTGTCTGACTGTTCCATTGATTGTACCTCCTGGATCATGGGTGGTTTATTCTGCCCTCTGTCGCTGTCTTCCAGCTCAAGAATTTCTTCCTAATATCTAATCTAAACCTGCCTTCCTTCAGCTTAAGGCCATGACTCCTTGTTCACTACATGCCCTTGTAAACAGTCCCTCTCCAGCTTTCTTGGAGGCCCACTTTAGGTACTGGAAGGCTGCTATAGGGCCTCCCCAGAGCCTTCTCTTCTCCAGGCTGAACAACCCCGACTCTCTCAGCTGGTGTTCATGGGAAAGGTGCTCCTGCCCTCTGATCATCTTTGTGACCCTCCTCTGGACTCGCTCCAACAGCTCCACATCTTTCTTGTACTGGGGACCCTGGAGCTGGATGCAGTACTCCAGCCAAGATTGCACAAGAGTGGAGTAGAGGGGGAGAAACATCTCCCTCGACGTGCTGGTTTTAGAGTGGTTTGGGTTGGAAGGGACCTCAAGGATCATCTAGTTCCAACCCCCCTGCCATGGGCAGGGACACCTTCCACTAGAGCAGGTTGCCTAAAGCCTCATCTAACCTGGCCTTGAACACTTCCAGGGATGGGGCCTCCACAACCCCTCTGGGCAACCTGTTCCCAGTACCACACTGGTTTTGATGCAGCCCAGGACAGGGTTGGCTTTCTGGGCTCTAAGCGCACACTGCCGGCTCATGTTGAGCTTCTCATCAACCAACACCCCCAAGTCCTTCTCCTCAGGGCTGCTTTCAATCCATTCTCTGCCCACCCTATAGCTGTGCTTGGGATTGTGCCAACCCATGTGCAGGACTTTGCACTTGGCCTTGTTGAACTTCGTGCAGTTTGCATAGGCCCACCTGTCAAGGTCCCTCTGGATGGCATCCCTTGCCTGCAGCGTGTTGACCACACCACACAGCTTGGTGTCGTCAGCAAACTTGCTGAGGGTGCACTCGATCCCACTGTCCATGTCGCCGACAAAGATGTTGAACAGTGCCGGTCCCAACGCTGACCCCTGAGGAACGCCATTCATCACTGGTCTCCAGTGGTCAGTTTTTACAGAATAATTTTTTTATTTATTGATAAAAGGACTCAGTTGCAAGATTGATTGCTATGGGGTTATTATTAAGAACTTGGTATAGATTTCATTCTAACGTGCAAGTCTGTTGCTATTTAGAATTCTTATCCGAGGAAAAATAAAGGTTAGTGAAGATGGAAAAATAATTTCTGTTCTTCCTGGACCTTCACTGGGGTTGCTTTAATGGTTAATAACACTTCTTTTCTTTCCATAGGCTATGTTCAGTCTTTGCATGGTTGAAAGTGAAGCTGATGAGGTGAATTTGCATGGTGTCACAAGCCTTGGTTTAAAACAAGCCCTGGACTTTGCATATACTGGACAGGTACTGTACAGTTCTTCAAATTAAGACACACAAATGAAAGCAAACTGCAATACAAACTGAAGATGACCTTTACAAAGGTACTAGAAATTATTTTTCTTGTGCACTGCCCTGTACAAGGTCTTTTGATTTAATAGTTCTTACTTTGGATATACTGTTGGGTTTTTTCTCTGTAGAGGGTTTGTCTAATAAAAACACTGGTTATGTGCATTGTTACCAGGTAGTGAACCATGTAGGACTTGTATGCCCCTCTTATGGTGGCCTGGCTATTCATAAGAACTTAATGTGTGTTCCTTCTGCATGCTAAATAAAAGTAAAGAAAGGAAAAATACCCTAGGTGTTTTCCTAATAATGATGACAAATTATATAATTGAGGTGAAAAGTAGTCTACTCTCTGGACAGATGCGGTCCAAGCATCTTTGTAAATGCTTATAGGTACTCTACATCTTTATTGTAGCACTTTTTATGATAGCAGGTTATGTATCACATTATGTTACTTCAGAAAACGCAGAGTGATGCTGCTCTTCCTGCTCCCCTCCCCCACTAAAAAAAAATAAAAATCTGCCATATCTGTACACTGCATGCTTGGGCAGTGTTGCTATATGACTTCATCTCAGTTCAGAGTTCATGGATAGTGAGCTCAGAACTTCTTAACATCCAGTTATTTTTCCTTTGGACTGTAAAATTAGAGATAACCAAAGTATTTCTGGAAATATTGCTAGAACAGTTGAATTATTGATGTATATTTGCTTATTAGTTAATTTTGAAAAGGAAACCTTAAATCCATATTACATTATTCTGGAAGAGTTGTTGGATTGTACAGATTTAAGGCATCTGTTTCCGTACTGTGGATTGAGTATATGACCTTAATTTTTTCAAAGGGAATTAAATAGAAATAAGGAAAGAATTTTTTTAACCTGTTTTAAAGAAGCTATTTTTGTCACCAGCCCATACAACAGTTATACTTTAGCATTGACCTTAGACATTAGCACTTGAAATTTCTGTGTTTCTGCTATTATGGAAAACATAACTTATTCAAAGATTTCTTTCATATAAATAAGAGACAGAGATGCCATGCTATATTACTGAATTGGCTGAAGATCTCAGTACATGGCTTGTCATCAGTATGCTTTTTGTTCTTTCAGTTGAAAGTTTCGGTAAACAAAATCAAGTGTTTTCTGTGATGTGGAGCAGTCGTTTGAGACTATAGGTTGTTTATTCTGAAAACAGAACTCTTGATGCTAAACAGAAGTATCCCAAAGATACTTTCCAAAGCCAATTTTGAGAAGATAGGTTGTAATTGATTTCTGTCTGACCCATCCTGCTGTGAATAAAGGTACACTCCCCTATCTTTCAGCAAAATTCAAAGTCTAATAAACCTATGTAAAATATGTTGAGAACCCTGAAAGGATGGATTTGTGGGTTTTTTTGTAAGCCAACAATCCACCCCACCTAGCTTCCAGAATAGTATTCTTAGCTCCCTAGTAAATTATATGTGCCCTCCATCCCTAATCCTCTAGAGGCTTTTGAGTCTGTCATTTTCAGATATAATCTACTCTGAATAAATGAGTGGGCTTCTTGAGTTAAATATAGGTATGCATGTATGTGCAGTTGCTCACGTATATAAGTGATAGTAGGGCAAAATTTGTGCTCTGTTGCGTCTATCAGATACACCGAGTCCTACTTCGAAGCACAGAGAAGTGCGAAGGATTCTCTAGGAGTTTTCTTATAAAGATGCCTTTGAAGCATAACTCAGTGATAGGCGGGTCTGATAATTAGCAGTGTTGAATTTTCCCTTTTGTCCTTGAAATTCTCTACTGGCACTGGGTTTACATGTATTGAGCATTCCTTATGTATTGACTCAAGCTGATACAATCTGGGTGAATGTTCCAAGGTAGTGAGTGGGAGTAATCCACAAAGACTATTAATAAATAACTGGATTACTGCATGCTTACATCAGAGAGACTTCTGAAAACAGAGTTGTCTTTAGTTTGCATCTGTGAACTCTTTCTGATTTTATAAAACAAACAAACAAAATATTTCTTGTAACCCAAAGCTAATTCATGCCAATTACAGCCTTATATTGCTCTGAAAATGTAGGTATCAATACATGATCTGATGTGCCTCTTAAAAGTGAAAGCCATGAACTTTTTTATAAACATGTTTGCCCAAAATGTTAGTCCAAAAATATACTGTGTCTTTAGGTAACACTGTGGAACTGACAACAATTTTAGGGACAGTTCTAAGGTATCTATGTCTAAACAGATAAATATTTAATTTCAGCTTTGTTCTCTTTATTTTTTAAATATTTTGCTAACCTTGCATTCAATCTGAAGTGTAGTAACTCAAATGTAACTTTCTGTTAATATAATATATTGGAGACATCTGGTGGAAAAATTTAATATTGCATGATGGCAATATTGGATGCTTGCAGGTTTTGAAAGTTATCAAAATTAAGAAATTTAATTTTTAGCATGACATTGCAATCTGAAACTCATCCTTGCATTTTTTTTTTTTTTATTTGAAATATCCTTCTGGACTTAAAATACCAATTTTGTCTTCTTGTCTACTTGTGCAGATGGTGCCTTATTGTAATTAGTGCTGGAAATATTTGGCTTTTAAGGGAAAATTGATTGTTCAATAGAAGAAAAGTTTGTAGTAAAACTCAAATATAAATAATATCATTCCAAATGAATTAGTCCATTACTATGCTCCCTAATCATAACAAAGAAGTAAGTTGGTATAGAAAGAAATAAAAACTAACAGAAAGAATAGCAGCAGAATTTTGTTTTGCTCTTATTCTCAGTAATCCTCTAATAATGAAGTCTTTTGCAAAAAGTCTTAAATACCTTCCCTCTTGGCCTTAAGCACTTTACCATGTACTCCCTGTATTCAGAATTCAGACATACCACACTCTTCGTGTTATAGTTGATGTATCCTTTCTTCATAAAAGGGCTTTAAGGTGATTCTCTCCTTGACTTCACAGCTGGCAGCAGTAAGGCCAGGCCAGAGTCTCAATGACTAGATTACTCACCCTTCCTCCTCACAGGGGTGTTTTCCAAATGTCAGATGTGCATTGGAAGGGAGGTGGATGAAGTATAATCAATACAGGAACTATTTATTTTAGATATTAATATAGAGAAACAGTTCTTGGTGCAGTTTGGACCTCACAATTCCTTCTAAGAGTCTTAACCACTGGGTTAGAGAGTCGTGGGCACTGTTGCCTGCTCTTTTTCACTTTTTTTGTTTCTTTTTAACTATTCTGTTAGTAAGAGAAATAATCTCATTTGGATGAATGGGATAACTCCTAAATAGCCCAGTGTAGTTGGCTCACTCATCATTACAGGAAAAGATGCTTCTGATCAGAAGAAAACCTGGAGAAGAGAAGGCTCTGGGGAGGTCCTGTAGCAGCCTTCCAGTACCTAAAGGGGGCCTCCAAGAAAGCTGGAGAGGGACTGTTTACAAAGGCATGTAGTGAAGGGTCAAGGAGTCATGGCCTTAAGCTGAAGGAGGGTAGATTTAAATTAGATATAAGGAAGAAATTCTTTACTGTGAGGGTGGTGAGGCACTGGCACAGGTTGCCCAGAGAGGTTGTGGATGCCCCCTCCCTGGAAGTGTTCAAAGCCAAGTTGGATGGGGCTTTGGGCAACCTGGTCTGGTGGAAGGTGTCCCTACCCATGGCAGGGCATTTGGAACTAGGTGATCTTCAAGGCCCTTTCCAACCCAAACCATTCTATGATTTTATGAAAACCTTTGGGCATTTGAAAAGTTTAAGTGCTGAAAATAGGTTCTATAAGTGCTATGGGAATGAATAAGTGATTTGAACTGAAATTTTGAGGCTCCTTATTTTAAATGAGGCTCTTACATTCCTCCTCAAATTTAGGTCCAGCAAACTACATCATTTATGTTGATCTCATATACATATCTAAAATATAAATGATACCATAATTTGAATCTGCTGACAGGCACTGCAGTATAATTTCAAGAAAGAATTGTGCAAGAACAATGGATTTAATTTGTAGTAGATGATAATTCAACAAAAATACAAATACACAGTTGGAGTCCCACATATACTGAAATGCTTCGCTGACTTGGATCTTTCTTCTTTGTAATTATGTTCTATCGTATGTCTTTAGTCTATGGTAATAGAAGTACTTTGCATTTAGATAGAATTTTGTTTGAGAACCTCAAAACACATTACAAAAGCAAGTAATCGCTGTCCTTACTTTGTTGCATCATAGACAGGAAATTATTTTGGAAGAAAATAACTTTCCAAAGAATGTACAGCAAACCAGCAGCTTTAATAGGGCTTAATACAAAGTTCTCCTGACCAAGTCCTGTTTTCCTAAGTGGCTGGTGTCTCTTCTTTTTCTAAACCATAATATTTTGTTTCTGTATTAATAGAAATTAAGTTGTCGTCTTAAAGTTATAAAATTATTCTAAATTACCAAAGCTGAAAAGAAAGAAGCAGTGAGGCAGCCCTATTATAAGACATGTTTTCAGTTCAGGTCTTTCTCCAAAAGTTAATTTTGAGTTAAGTTGTCCTGTGGTATCTTCTTAGCCCATGATTAACACAGCCTTACACCCTGCCTATGAAAAGAATGTTGAAATGTTTCCTTTTCTTGAAAGTCAGATATGAAGTTGCATTTACAATGATTCGAAAATAGGCTTTAAACTTTTTCTGTTTCTTAGCATATTTAACAGATTTTCTTTTACTTACAAAATGCTAACATAGCAGGAGTCTTTATTAAAGGTGATATCAGTATATTATTCTAGTTACAAATCTAGAACTTCCTGGTATTTTCAGATATATTATTTCATCTGCTTGGGTTGCTCTCAATATTACTTTAATGCATTATCAATGTGAATCCTATTTAACTACTGCCTTTATTTACTAACTTTGTCTTCTATTCAGTTAGTTTAAAAATATATCATCCTGTAACAGGTATTACCATTTTACCGAACAGGCTTCATGAACTTATAGGAGTGATGGTGATTTCTCA